TAATTTATCAGTTTTCTAATATACAAAATTTTGATTTCAAGAATGGTAATGTTTGAAAACAACAATGTTTACCTGAACAACTCGCATATCTAAGCCGGTATCTGCAGCCAACTGTTCTCGGATATGTCGAGCCGGTTTTGAGCTAGCTTGATAGGCTTGCTTTAAAGTTTCTAAACTTTTTGCTGTAATTGTTGTTCGTGGTCGTTTACTGCTGGTATCTGGTTCATTTTCTACAAAAAAAAAGAAAAAACTGATTCAGTGACATTACAGTTGATAATAATAATAAAAAAAAAAAACTTACTGCAATTATCTATTTTTTTGCAAACTTTATACTCTTTAAAAACCACCTCTAAACATTTGTTGAATACAATTACAAATTTCAGTTTACGTTGTTATAGCCAAATATATGCATTTATTTATTTACAGAACTGTTATCGTGGAAATGAGTCTTCCTTTATTTTTTGTTACAGTAAGTAAACACCAAAAAAGTGCAAAAAAAGAAAAAAGTATGATTTTATTATAGATGATCAAATAATAAACATCTGCACTGAGATAAACTCAGTATAATCTCCCACAAAGTTTTAATTTTTTAATTTTTCTTTTTTTTTTTTTATAATATAATTGAAAAATATAGCATTTAATTTTGGATTGTTTTACTCTCAGTGATGATACCTTTAGTTTTAGCCATCTCATAATCCACTTTACAAACCAGTCGACCATCAGTGGGTATCAAATAGTATTCATCGCCAGTCCGTAATTCTCGTTTACAGACAGCACATTTAAAACATGCAATATGATAAACATGTTCATTTGCTCGACGGACAACTCCATCTGGGCAGATGCCGTTGTTACACGTTGAACACTTTGTACCAAATCTTCTGAAAAATATAGTTCTTTTTTTTTTAAGAAAACAAAAAATATAATACATAAAACTGTTTTTCTTTAGCATTAAAAGTGTCAACAATGCTCAATATTTAAACAAAAAAAAATTTTTTTTTTTCTTATCTAAGTGTTATTTATTTCAATGGCTT